ATATAATTTCCTCTTATTGAGTCAAATATGAAGTATTTTTACCTCAAATATTAGCTTTTTAACATGTTTTTTACATCTAAAAGACTCTATAAATGGAACATACTCTTATTCCGACATCATTAATGTTACATAAATCAATTTTAGGGACATATTCCTGTGCAATAGTGTTAACATATGACCCACCGTTGTTTACATGTGTTTCTTGGTGGTTAAATCTCTAGGTGGGGTCTTGTTCATTTGTTTTGTGTGTTCTTGTCTTATTACTATCTTGAAAAATTATTGTTTATAATTGATACCATTTCACTATAAGCGCACTGATTAGAGAGCAAACTCCCTCTTGCATACCGTCTTCCATAAAATGCTGCTGGTTGATCCGGGGGTTTCTGTGCACAGCCTGAGTTGCCCTGTGTCAGAGGCCTGGAAAACTAACACTTCCTGCCGTTCCAGGAGGAGATTACAGTGAGCTGAATAATTAACGAAAACAAGCTAGCAAACATCAAATATTGAAAAGGGAATGTTTTTATGCTAACGATTAAGATGGCGAGCGAAGCACTTACTTGTCTAAAAGAGAGAGCTTGTCAGCCAAATGCATCTCCTCCTCCTTACCTACCTGTAATTTCACAACACTAAAGAAGCACCAGGAGTTCTTCCTCCCTGTCTTAAGCATTGTTCTGATAAATAATTAAGTAGGCTAAATTAATAATGAAGGCTGAACAACCACAGCGGTGAGACATCCTTTCGTGACCTCCCTTAAGCCAGGGGCCCTTTATTCTATGACTTTGCAACAGGTTTTCAAATAGGGAGAGTCACTTCAGCCATTATTATATTATTACAAGTTATTAATGAGCTTGATCAGAACGGGTGTTCTAATTACAGCATTACATTTAGGAAACAAAGCAACAAAACAACTCCCTCCATGCTCGTTGCTAATTAGTAACTCTTCTGATTAGACCTCCCTACGTGTCTTTTTTCATGTTTTTCTGCCGCTGTTGTCTCTCAAAGGTGTGGACCTGCTTGCAAAGGAAGCTCTCTTGACCTCCGTGTTGACAACTCTTGAAAGCAGATGGCCAATTCTCTCCAGACTACTGGTAATTCACTCCACTTGATGGGATTTACAGGCAGCTTTGCATATTCTGCACTCATCCCTGTCACTTCAACTATCAAAGCGTCACATGGCCTTTCAGAGTGAACAAAATCAAGGGTGGGGGGGGTTCAGAGAAGAAGGGATTGCGGCTCTTGCTCAGAAATTCTGCCACAGGGAATGTACGGTATCATATCATTGGATTTAAATTCTTGGAATACTGCAATCATGGAATCCTAAAAATGAAATGGGAGCAACTGGTACTTAGGAAGGCAAGAGATGAATATTAACACCTAAACTTGTTTTTGATACGGATGAATAAAATGGCACAAATTCTTGAACATTCATTAAGTGCACCTTTTAAAGATAACACAGACTCTGCTTGTTTATTTAAAGTAATAGGCCTACAAGCCAAAAAAGACTATAGGCAAAATGCCACCACTGTGATGATTACAAAAAATGCTGAATACACAGTCAACTGTGCCGAAAGGATATAAAAAAAACCTGTCCAATTAATTTGAAAAGGTGTGGTTCCCCATTACCAATCCATGCATAGATGCTTAATTAATGGAGAACCAGCTTTTCAATGGAGGTAAATTAGCATCTTAATAAGACCTCAAAAACTACATTGCTTATTGGGCTTGTGAAATATCGAGCATGAATTTGTCCTGAACCCGGAGAACATTATCCCCTGACTCAGCAGTTTTTTAGTGTTTTAGCGTCTTTCAGCACAATGTTTTGGTTTATAGCCCACAACTGTTTAGATTGAGTCTCATGGCTCTCATCAGTGTTACTGCCAGAAGTACAGACATTTGATTTCAGCAACAAAGTTCTGATAAACCAATGGGAACATTTCACAAATAACTAGTAGGGGTGTAACTGACCAAGAATACATCAAGTTAAATCTAATTGGTCAACTCTTGCCTATTTTAGACTGATTGTCGAATCGCATTGTTGTGTCTTTGTCCTTTTTCTAGTGGAACGAAGCAGTTTTTCTTACGCGTAAAAAGTGCGGGACAGATGCCAGCCAGATACAAAGAACCACGTTTTCCCACCAGTGCGATGATTTGACTTTGAGATTGGCATTTAAATCAGGCTCTTTAGATAAAATATTTGAATATTTGGTGTGAACATGCCTGGTGAAATATTGTATTTCACAATATATGTACAGCATTTTGTGCTGCCCTCTAGTGGCCACAGAAAAACTGAATTTACCTGTCATAAATGTTAAGTACTTCAAAGTACTTTCCAGCTTGTAATGTGCACCCACAGTATGACAGAACCAGTGCCACACTTCCCCCCTACAGTAAGGTATTTCTTGTAGGAGTAATCCGTTAAAACAAGTATATTTTCCTGGTTAAAAGATGTAGAAAATTCCAATCTAAAACAAATTTAAAATAACTTATTTCCAACCATCAGTACTATCCCAGTATGCCATGACAGTGTGACAGCGAGCCAGCTTGATCAATAACCTAAAACTGAATAGCTAAATAATATTTATTATGTATGCTTTTGGCATGTCAGAAATGTCTTCAGAGAAAATCCCTTCACTTTCAGTTATATCACTTCCTCAATACGTTGGCTGGTGACAGAAAGGTTTCACAGTTCTTTTAGAAGACTTGTGAAGTTTTACTTTAACACTTCCTATGTATAAATTACGGGTTCCATTACCCAAACATAACATCAATAAATGCATTAATTTGCAAAAACATACAGCATGTAAAGAAATAGGAACAAATGTTGTTTCTGTAACAGTTTAGTCGATCAAGATGTATTTTCCAGAACACTCCTTATAATGCATGTATCTTGGTGACACACTCTGTTCACCACAGACATCTCAAGACCAAGTCTATCCCTGGGCTCACCACAGAACAAAGATTAACTTAGTGTCAAGATGCTCAGATCTGCCTCAGATCTGCCTTCAAATGACAGTCATTCATGGCCATCCACAGATACAAACCAACCAGAATGCCAATCTTTGTCAACGCTTTCCCTTTCTCTTCTATTCCACCAAACATAATCTCAGTCATCCAGAGTTCAAAGCCAGTACTGCTCAACATGGTACCCCTATCCCCATTTTAATGATACTACAGCCCATAATTATCTGAGTCTTAGCACCGAGGTGACACGGAACTCATCACAAAGCTGTTTTTCCAGCCTGGCTCATTCTCCCTAGCTGAATACTGTCACACATTAGTGTTGTTGTTAAAGTGCATGATATGCAGGAAGGAGTGGATAATTAAGCTCGGTGCAATTACCGTGAGTTTTTCTTTTATAGTTATTATTTCTGAAAGGAGTTTTTTACGACAGACCACGTGTCACCTTTTCTGTCCTATTAATTGTAATTGATGCTGGGGGCATGTGTGTACGTGTGCTTTGTTCTCAGTATATGCACTTAAGCCTCCTCAAGGCGTGTTGGATAAAAGCCTCTAGATGCATATGAGTGTCAGGAAGTGAGAAAAGTGTGTACATACAGGATGTGCACTATTATCAGTCACGAGCAGATCATCAGCACCAGCGACAACAACACTAAAGCATCCTCCAATATAATCATTAAGGAGCATCTAAATAAACATATGCTCACACACCAAAAACCACTTCAAATTAACATATTAAAGACAGATCAGCTCATGCATCACAACCACTGACATTTGGAATAGATGAATCAATCAATCAATAGACTTTTTTTTATTTAAATCTAAAATTGTGCATTTAAGGGATTACACCATGCATTTTGAAGCTTTACTTTTAGGGAATTATCCTATTCTCAACTGTTGTATACTTTACCGGGGTGTCTAATTTCACATTTTTTCTCCCTTTTAAATCACTAATAGGCTACATTAAAACCCTCACATGTTTGAGTTTTAGTTCATTCTAATTAACTTATAATCATAATCAAATTAATTTTGAAATCCAAATGACGTCTCTTGTTTCTTATACATAGATTTGTTTTCTTGAAACCTCCTGCCAGCTCTTTCTATGATGTTTGATATCAGCACTCTCTTTAGTTCAACATCCGAGCCTACCCTATTGGTATTTGGAGCTGCAAACGGCAGTCATGATTCCATATTGACGTGTGGCTGTTATGAGCTATAATATCAATACTGCCCGTGGCCGTGAGTGTGTGTGGAATCGGCTCGGAGCTATTTTAAGGGCTCAGACTTGGACAGGCGACAGGGGAAATATATGGCGGCACATTCTGATTTACAGAGGGAGGCGAGGAGGCGCTGCAGCCCGGTCCGCTCCTTCTGCTTTTATAGCTCTGGGCAAGGAGCAGAGAAAACAAGTTTACTGCTCGATGTCCCATAAAAGAGAACAAGTAGATTTGTATTTAAAGGTACACTTGATGGAACGACTAGGACATCAAAAAAGCCAATTAAATAAGATTTATCAGTGCGTTTTATTGAAATTAAGGGAATTTAATGCATGATTAGTATAAATATCTCCAATTTGACTATAATGTAAGTGACAGATTAAGTACACAAACCTCAACTATCTCCTGTTAATAACAGTGTTGGTTTTATTATTGTGGCGCACACCGCGTTTTTCCCGCTTCCCATTCCTTATCCAGCTACATTTCCCGTTAAAATGCCCCTCACTGCTGCCGTTTCTCTCGGATCGAAATCATTGATCCGTGCCTGCCAGGTGATAATTTTGACATGCCTCGCTGCCATGCTCCGAGACAAACTCAACCAGCACATCCAAGCAACCCCCCCTCCCCAAAAGAAAACTCTGCATCCTCTCATCACGGGGCTTTGCGGAACTCGGGATCACACCGCAGAGTCCAAACACACGAAGGAAAACGACCCACAATAATATCTTATCTGAGAGGTCCTCTAAACTTTGCAGAGTCAGAACACGCGTCTTTATTGTAAGGCACAAAGATGGCAAAACTCTGCCCGTATGATAGGACTCTCACCGGAGCAGTTCCAGCCGGTTGGCGTCTGGCAGTCGCTGAGAGAGGACGGGAAGGCGCGCAGCTGCTCCACAGGTAAAGTGGCGAGGAACGAAACCAGGGTGATCCGGAGCCAGCCTCCCGCCGTCCCGCTCCACTGGCGCGGCCGCCGGGGCTCCGAGAGCGGTGCCTGCGCCGCCACGGAGAGACCCATATCTCACTGGCCCAGACCGCACGGGCGAGCTGGGGAAGAGACGCAGACTCGCACCGACAACTCCAATCCCGACAGGTTCAGCGGGGCACCTAGAGACCGACAGCAGACCATTTTCCGAGCGACACCGTGCGCCCCATGTAGCAGTGCGCCCCGGGGGAAGAGTGGCTCCAAGCTGCAATAAGAGGGTGGCGGTGGTTGGAGGTGGTGGTGTAAGGGGGGGAGAACTGCCGAGGGTTGGTGAGCGATGGAGGAGTGGGATGGAAAAGTTAGCCAGGCAAGGTAGAGGTACTTGCGGGAAGCCTGAGGATGCTCAAGGGTGAAAACAGGGGAGGAAAGATGAGAAAGAAAAAAAGAAAAGAAGCGGGGGTGATACAAAAAGGAGGAGGAGGTAGCCAGAAAAATCCCACGGAGAGGTTTACGGAGACGATTGGGTGATAGTATCCACGGGTGACACGAGCAGAACTCCTGCAGGAGCGGAGCGGTCCTTTCGTTTACTTTGTATGTGTGGTGCGTTCAGTGGCGCTGCGAGTTTCTCCCTCTCCCTCTCTCTCTCACTCTCTCTCTCACCAGCAGCTGGTTTCTACTGTGCTTATGATCACGTGATGTGAAAAGGGAGGGGGGGGGGCGGCTGCTCCTGTAATAATTGGAATATCTTACCGGTGGAAAAAAGAGAGTTAGTCAGAATGAGAGATAGGTGAAGAAGGAAAAGGGACCACAGTCCTGGCGCTATCAGTTGGTAGGTATTGGCTACACCCAGAATGGGGAGTAGGGAGGATAAGAGAAGGGGGGATGCGCTTGCCTTTATAATTGGCTAGGAGCATTTAAAAAAAAGTCTGCAGAAATCGATTCGTCCAGCCTGGCCTCAGATAATTGCCCCGCTTTGAAACGACACAGACGCTATTTCTGGGTCTCTGCCTCCAGGCATTCCAGAGGGACCTCAATATTATTCATTTTTGTTGTTTGGACATAACCTCTCTGTGTCACGCGGGGCACGCAGGATGCGGCCAGTAATTGACTTGCATTTGGCCAGGAAAAAAGACGTAGGAAGTGTACGGCATCTGTGCAGAGCTAAAGGGGCCAACATCAGGTTGAGAACACTCACCCTCTTTGAACCGCGGAAATTAGAAGCCACACGCATGGAAAAGCCCAGGAAAACAAAGGGGCTGCTGTTAAGAGCCGTAACGACTATAAAGACACTTGACCTCATGATTATGAGGAAGCAAAGCTGCAGCTGCCTGTAAACAAATACATCCTTTATTGCTTTTTAACTTTAAGGTCATTACATGGGAATATCTGTCGTTTGTCTTCGGTAATGGGGTCATGTTTGATCTGCCGCTGCAACTAGTCGCATACGGACACACATACCTGCACGCTAGAGGTATTTTTTGGCATCGTAATGAGGAAAAAATATGGATTTCTTTACACACAAACACACAAAGGTGCACCAAGACGAATCTCAAGTGTTGGTGATAATGATTATAAATGACTGTCACACGATGCCCCCCCCATCAACAATCTCATGCTGCAACTCATCTCATGTCAGGGCTCCATTTGCACATTAGGAATTTCTTTAATTGAGTGTGAACATCTTGTGACACTTATTGGTTTAAGGCTATGTTTGTATTCTCAATGGTGTCATTGAATCAAATTACTGTAATGTGAAGTGCCGAAGTTGGTGAGAATTCCCACTCAACACTGCTGTTCTAAAAAGGTTTCAATCATCCTGTAAAGCAGGGGTCGGAACCCCTGGCACGCGTGCCAGCATTGGCACGCGGCACCGTAACCAGTGGCACACTAGGAATAAGTGGAATAAGTGTGCAAAATATTTAAATTGTATTTTCGGATCCTTAACGAGACCGCCGCCTGAGCGCGTCTCCCCGT